GCCCTGGGTTCGATCCCCTTCCCACCCTCCAGAGAGAGAGAATGGGGTACGGAGGGGGGAGAGCAGGAAAGAAAGAGAGGCAGGGAGAGAGAAAGGAGTATAGCTATTGAAAGAAAAACATTTTAAAAACGTGAGAGTTTGAGCCAGATTGCAAAGAGAAAGATGATGTTTGATTTCAAACAAGTTAAATTTGAGAGAATGGGTATACCTTACAGCAGTGTCATGAAAAATTTAGAGTCACAGATTGGAATTCATGTGAAGAGCCAAGTCATATCCAAGAATCTGTTCTACCAACCAGAGAACAAACTAGTTTAGCAAAGCCAGCAGAGGGGCCAAAGCCAAGCCATGAGGACTAACTACTATTTAGTTGAAATTTCATTTTTGATCAGATTTAAGAAGTTTGAATTCTAGCTACTTAACATGAATGCAAATAACTATAAGGCACTTAAGGTTAGATAAGAGACGGGTGGCACCTGATAGTATGCTATTGAAACTGAGATTCTAGTCAATTGGTGAAGCATTACCTATATTACTTCAGGAATGCTAGATATTTTAAGATTATAGGCAGGCTATCTATCTAATTTATCTACCTATTGTTGAAGTTATTTAAATAGCATTTAATTGTGCTTTTGTTGATTTCTCATTTCTTCCTTTTAGAGATAACTTATCATATTTCAGACTCTTGGCTTAAATTACCTTCATTAGAAATTTTGGAGAAATGTAGTCTTTCATTTCCCTATGAACAAAATAGTCCAGAGAAAGAATCAAAGATGGATACTTAGATAAGAGCCCAAGGGCTGATGGAATGACTCAGGTGGTAGAGCACCTGCCTAGCATACATGTGGCCTTGAGTTCAAATCCCAGGAACACACACACACACACAAACAGCCCAAAGAGAAAAGTTCTCATACCTGCTAGTGACACTGTAGAATGAGGGCTTCTAACTTAATTACTTATGGACAGAGGATAGAAAGATCTGAGTACCAGATTTTCTGTCACTAATGGAGTTAGGTGTGTGCTGTTAATTTTGCTACAAATGGTATCATCTCTACTCTCTAGCATTGAGCATATCATGACCTCAAGAAAATGAAAATGTGTCAGTTCTGCTGCATAGCAGTTAATGAATGGGGCCTCTGGTAAAATTAGTTGTGATGGCATTTACCAATGTATTTGATCGGTCTTTGATTGCATAATATGCACCTGGAATAGAAAAGAACCTTGAGCATCAGTAAGGACATATTTCAGGGCAGGTGCAAAGTGAACATGTGAGGCCAATCATTAGGAAAGTGTGTCCTGGATGTATCCAGGTGTGTATGAGGATTTCAAGGTACACAATTCCAAGAAAAACTGAGCTCCTCCAAAATTCCTCTGGCCAGTCTGCTTGGCTGGAGTCTCTTAATCTTTTTAGGAGGTCACTACTATTCTTAGGACAAGAGTAGGAGAATTCTTTGGCTCTCAAAGTCAAGCAGTTATCCCAAAATAAGTATAACGCATGGGGAAAGTATATAAATTGATTCCCAATTTGTTTAGCCCACTTTGACTTCATCCTTGGTGGTAGAAAGCTTTTTAAAGCAGTTCACATTAGATCTAGATTTAAATCTATTTCTCTTTCCTGTCAAAACCTGGAAGTTATCAGCCCAAGGCTGGAGGGGGAGGACAGGTCAGGTCTCTTCATGAAATCTTTAGTATCTCAGTCCTTTCAAGCTCATGCTCTATCAGCCTGAAGGTGAGAGTTTCCTTCTCATATACCAGGATGCAACTTTCACCTAGCAGAAAGAAGAATAGGATAAAAAACTGGAAAGAAGGTTGGAGACATGTGACTGCTATTCTCGCAGGAAAGACCCCAGAAGCTGCCTCATGGTATTTTTTGTTTCTATCTCACTGGCCAGAACTTGGCTGTGTAGCTGTACAAAACTGTAAGTCTTCCTGTTGTGGGAACATAGTTGAACTGAGTAATCTGTTATGTGGAGAAGGGGAAAATAAATATCAGGAGAATGTTTATATTTCCCAATTAGTAGGTCAAGTTTTATAGCTACCTGAGGAGGTAACTGAAACAGAGTAGTTAAGAACATTGGACCCTGAAATCACACTGTCTTGGTTTGAATCCAGGTTTTCTCACATACAGATACAAACGGGAAGTGGTATTAATATATTCCTCTTAGAGTTGTTGTAGTGATTCAGTGAAATACTAAATATATCGAGGATTGTATCTAACACTTCAGAACCATTTGATTAAATGCTATTAGCCCTAATTATTAAAAGTACAAAGTAAAAAGTTTTGAACACCCAAATGCATATAACTTTCTGTACGTTTCTACAATTTGGAGGATATATTTACTTTCTTTTCCAGATATAAGTGGTTTTCATTCTTAATTTCGTTTTTCTCCTTCCTTTTGACAATAATTTGAGATGTGCATGCTTGGTTGGGAGGTGATGGTGATTCTTAACAAATTGGGCGATTTTCTTGAGTTTTCCATAGGTTCTGCATATGTCATTGACATTCCTCTTTAAGCTCTTGTTTATACTATTTTTTGGTGTGAAGCATATTTTGCATCAAGAATTTACCCTTCGCACTATTGTAACAAAGTGTGAATTGGGCAGCACCTCAAGAGGAGAAGACCTTTTTTGAATGAATGTGATTCAAGTAGCAATATGGATGGTTTGCTATTTGTTTGTAACAAGATAGCGCTAAATCTTAGAAATAATGTCAGTCAAATGTGGAAGTTTGGCATGTTCTTCCTTTAGAAACGGTGATAGAAGAGCAGTGGGTGAAATCGCAGCTTGATATTCCAACTTAGATGTGACAGTTTTCTTATGATTACATACAACAAAATAGTTGTATTGAGATATTTTTGCAAATTCCTAAATGCTCTTTTGCTTCTCTCTTTTTCTTTCTTTCTCTAAGCCCCCTCTTTGTTCTGTGGCTTTTCTTTTGTAACTCCTCCAGACTACAGCTTTGTTCCCCCTTCTTCTACTCCTTTCTGGTCAGGTACTGCTTTTTATATGTCTCTCCAACTTGCTTCAATATAGAATACTTTGACTCCAATGTGTGGCTTCCCATGTAGATACATCTCTTCACAGACAGTCCCTAGAGTTCCATCACCACCATGCACTTGACTCTTCTCTGTCATAAAGTCATTGCTTGTCATGACATTTTGCTTCTCTGGTTTTTGCTTGTGTGTTCATGCCATATATTTCAGTATGACATTTTATAATGTGTCAGTGAGTAAAGGTTGGAGAGGAATGGGGTCTGGAAGTCTAAAGGGAGCTGAAATACTCGGAAAATCATTAATTGGGTTTTTAAAAAAAATTTACTTGAGAAAAGGCAGTGTTTATGTCTATGAAGAAAATAAAAATAATCCAAATTCTGACTTCACCTCCAAAGAGAAGGATAAAACTCAGTATATACTGCTTCAGAGGATGACTGGAGCCTATCAGTTCTACAGCTCTTTAGTTTGTGCCCAGGCATTTTGATTCTGACTTCCATCATTAACTAGAGAGTTTAATGACTATTTATGTGGTATGGAGAGGACTGTGTTGTGGCTAGGTGAAGAATGTTTTCTTACAGGTTTTAAAAAATTAACCTGTAAGTCCCAATAGAATGATAGAATTTTGAAATAGGAAGACCTTAAGAAGTCAGCTAGTACAAGCCTTTCATTTTATAGATGAGAAAAATGTGGCCTACAGGGGTTAAGAGGCCTGTGCAAGGTCACCCAGTTAAGTTGGTGATTGGGTTTTTCCATCACAGGGGTGTTTTTATGTGCACTGACTCTTAAGAGTAGTGCCCAAGCAATGGGACAGTTTTCAGTCAGGAAACCATTAAAGTGGTTTGTGTCCTGAACAGTAAAATAAAATGACCTATTTTTACTCCCTTTACAGTTCTGAAATCTACAGTGTTGCCATTCCTTTACCTTACGATCAACACCTGGAGACTAAAAAGAAATGTCTGTCATTCCAAGGCCATGAACAATAGGCCAGACAGCTCTGTTGCCAAGCGGGCTGACTCTTCCAGGGTAACATGGGTCATAATGGTGGCCACCTGGATACTGGAAACCGTTAAGACTACAAATGGATGGCATTTCCCATTTGTCTCTTTTTCTTACACTTAAGTTCCCCTGTCGTTTAAGATCTATAAAGTCTTACCAATCTCAGATGAGTGATTCTCAGAATCACTGAACATATAATTGAAAATGTTTTATAACCCCAAAGAGCAACAGGTGGAGAAGTTAATATAAAACGTGTTATGAAGCACTAGAGACTAACAAACACATGCAGCTTGAATGGAGTTTTCCTTTCAGAACAAGACAACAGAAAGGTTCGAATGCAGGAAGTGAATACCCTCACACCGTGTTTTTGATTAGATATTTCAGTAAAAGTTTTCTGTAAGGTAGTACTGGTTTGAAAGAAAGAAGGTCTGCTGGTGGTGTTCACGTGTTCTTTCTGTGAAATCTGCTTCACATTAATGAAATTATATATAAATCAATAACTGAGTTTATCCCCAAAGAGTTTTAACCAAAAACATTAGGGGAGAGAAGTGCCCCTTAATTAGAAGCAATGACATCAGATGGACAAACTTCCATCAGAGCAAGGAATTAATTGTGTTGATTTATCAGTCAGGGCAGTTACTAGAGGACAACACAATGGTCCCCGTTAGGGTTCTTAGATAACTGTGATACTGATCAGAAGTTTATGCTGAAGTTATTTACATTCCAGCATTCAGATAGTAGCTTAGATAATTTGCTAGTTTTGGGGTGGGGGTTAAATGAAGAATATGAAAACAGAACACTGCTTCTTTACACTTCATGAAGCAATAAAGTTGCCAGCACCTTATTGAATTGAAACAGCTCTTGCGCTGCTTTCAAGATCCTCCGCCATCTTCACGGGTCTGTAATGAAGTCACGACTGTGTGTCTGATAGCATCAGTAACATCCGTCTCACTAGGTTCTTCTGGCTGTTAACCAGTGTCCCATCAGCTCTGACCTTTTGCCATTTCCTCACAGTGCTAAGTCCCAAAGTGCTGGGCATCGCCATCGCTAGGTATGACTTCTGCGCAAGGGACATGCGAGAACTGTCCTTGTTGAAAGGAGACATGGTGAAGATTTACACAAAGATGAGTGCGAACGGCTGGTGGAGAGGAGAAGTAAATGGCAGGGTGAGTTTCCCTCTGGGGTGCTCATGCATGAGAATGAAAGGGCGGGTTGGTCAGTCCTTGGTACCAGTCACGCTGCACCGCATTCACCTCACAGCCCCTGGCCTCCAGAGACTAGTGTGTGCGTAGCTGGTAACAGGCAGTCACTAAAAGTGTCTTGAGTGACAATGATATGGGCTTAAAGTTTCCCCCAGTAAGTATGATGGCTTCCTATTTGGAGAAGATTGAGGGGCATTTCAGTTCTTTTCAGAACCTAAACACGAGAGCATACATTTTCTGTGTAGTGCCAGATATCTGGAAGAGCTGCTGACCTGAATTGGGAAGAATGGGGCTGTGTACTTCTGTCTTTACATCCTGTTCTACAGCAGAAATAGGAACACTATGTAGTTGAGCCCCGTATTACACTTAATTTACATATTTATTTGTGTGCTAGTGGATTAGAACACTGTTTAAGCTTATTTTATTCCTGTGTTTCTATCACTCACTCCTATTAGGCTTCTCAAAGCAGTTAAACCAATCTTCTTCATCTACAGCAGACATAAAACCCCAGCTTAATTGGGGTGTTGTGAAAATGAAATGTTCTGTTTGTGGAATTCTTTGAAGTGCCAGCTGCAAAGTCGTGTTGCTATGTTGGCTGCTTTTCCTTTTTAGGTGGGCTGGTTTCCATCCACGTATGTAGAAGAGGATGAATAAACTGCAATCCAGAATTGCATCCTGCACCGAAAATCTCAGAGAAAGGATAAACAGAAGGCTTCACAGCATTATGAATTAACTCAAGTGTTTAAAAAGCTGCATTTCTGGCTGTTCAGCTTCCTCCTTCTTTTCCACTCCCAAATCTTAATGCTGGGATTTCTAACAATGCTGGTGCTGACAGATTAATGGTTTGCCTAGAGCTGTGCAAGGAACGGCCTGCCCGTCTGTCATAGTCAGGGACCAGGACAAAGCCAAAACCTCTTCCTCCCAAAAGAGCCCTGCAAACACATTGGTTCAGGTTTCTCTTTACTTCACTGGGTCAGATGCCATAAACGCCAGCCATTAGTAAATACTTACTGCATATTTACTTTATTCTCATGTGCCATTCACCAGAATTTTTGATGGTACAAAGAACAGAAGATTAATTTTGCTTTTCTGTGAATTAAAATTAGGGTGCTGCCATTTGGGAAAGATGCAGGATTTCTTGTCTTAAATTGTTCAACAGGTGACTCATTGCCCAGCCAACCCTTTTACCCCCAAATGTTATTCATGGTAAAATACAAGAGGCAGATGCTCAGGCTTTCATCATAAGAGATATATTCCAGGAGGTTTTTAATTATTCATTTGATGTTCTGATTACATTTGCGAACTTCTTTATGAAAAGGGAAAAAAACACATGAAAGAGAGTGTCATGTTAAATCTTCACAACCTTCATGGTTTTTTAGGGTTATTTTGGAAATGTACTACTTGATGAAATAATCTTGGCTGGGTATGTCATAGGTAGTCACCAAGAGCCTGAGTAAGGTGGCATTGTTTACAGAAACAGACCAAGGGCTATCAACTATAGTAAATCATTCTATAGCAGCAATATCTATTAACACATGCCTTTTCCTCACCCCTAGAGAGACCCCAGGAGATATTTGCTGATTCCCACATTTTCTTGGAATATCTATAGTAGCACAAACAGCTTTTGTTGAGGATTCTGGAAGGAAAGCACACCTGTCCCTGGGACAATAGGAGGGTTCCTGGGCTTCTGACTTCTCTCAGAGTCCTCTCTTCTGCAGGCCATTCTGGGCATGTTTTAACTGGCCAGAGGGTCAGTTTTGCTGTGTATTTCTTCACATTTGTTATGTGAAGAGTCTAAATATGTTTTTCCTGGGATGCCATAGTCCCCAGTCAAGTTCAGACACCTAACTTGGCCCTTCCCGGATGAACTATTTCCTCCATAGCAGAAGTCATGTTCTTACAAGATTCAGATAATCTTTTGCATTTGGGAAAAACAAATATTAAAAGCATTCACTTTGTAGAGGCAAACTGGGAGCATTCAGTTAGAACTGAATTCAGTTTAGAAACTTCAGCTCATCTCTGAAATGAAGGGGCTGTGGCCTGCCATCTCCCCAATCCAGTTGGGTGCCAGAACTAGATGTTCAGCAGACACATCTCCTCATTAGAGACCCTCATGGGTTAGGACTTCTTGTCTAGAATAGATTCAAGACCTTTACCTCAGAATTATGTAAACTGTGATTGTGTTTTAGAAAAATTATTATTTGCTAAAACCAGTTAAATTTTTGTATATGTGTAAATGTTCACAAAAATGTATTTTATAAAATGTTCTGTACAGTGAACTTACCCCACCAAGGTGTACTTGGAGTGGATTCTTTCCCATAAAGTCTTACCTGTGACTGTCTTGGGATGTTTTGTCTGTTACTGTTGGCCAAATGTTGCTCTGGAGAGTACACCTTCCCACAAATTGAAATGTTCCTGTGTACATTACTGTAGCATGTACTGTTTATTTCAGTCAATAGGTTTCCTCCCCACCCCCCCTTACAAATGGTGTGTGGTCTTCCCGTTACATTTCATTGGCCTGGGGGTTGTGTAGCAAAGGATATTAGAGCCCCTTTTCATGTAACATTACCAGTTACATCTTTGTCTACATTTAATACTTGTATTGGAAACTTTAAATGCTGTGGATTTGTGTAGATTTCTAATACCAAAGACAGAAGTAAATGTTTTCCATGGACTTTGTCTTGACTGTATGCAGCCTTTGTGAAATATGGTGAATTAGAGTGGTATTTTACTTTGTAATATTTTGTAAATATGTCAATACAATAAATAGTTACTACTTGCATTGTTGCATTGATTTCATGAGGATTGAAGATTCTTTCCATTGAATGATCCCTTAACTCACACTTGCCAGCCTCATACAAGCTCGATTTTGGTCAGGTTAGTACAGGATTGCTGCCTAATTTGTGAACAGTGAACCATAAGATAAACTCAGTAGTTGCCAAGTAGCATCTCATGACCTGCTTGCAGTGTGCCACACATTGTTCTCATAGCCTTATGTGTACTTACGATAACCCCAGAAGGCAGAACCCCATGTCTTCATTTTCAGGTGAGGAACCTGAGGTACATCAGGCAACTTTCCTGAGACCACGTGACTGGCAAGTGTCAGAGAGCAACTGTATTCTGACTTGGGCAGCCTGGCTCCACAGCCCAGATAGCCACTACCTTATCTTGCTACATGTTATAGGGCAAGAGATACGTTAGGTATGTTTTTAAGCTTACATGGACAAAAGGAAACCATTTGATAGGAAATAGTGGTTTGAACAATTAAAGATTAACACAGAATTCAGATTTTTTTTCTGCTATTCCCATTCCTTAAAAATAACCCTAAATAGATACTGGGTAGAGAGAGTGGAGTCAGAGATTGACTTCCCTCCACCCCATTTTGGTTTACCTTTTGCAGTAGGAAGTCACGACTGCTATATCAGAAAGTTTAGGAGTCAAGCTTCCCCTGACAGAGCAGACCCACCAGATCTCTGTCTCAAGCAGAGGGTGGATGCACATTTCTTCTAAGGCCCAGGACAAACCCGTTTTATAGTAGCATTTTTCTGCTTGATGTCACCATCATTCAATGCTCAGAAATAGAAGCTTCCCCACCCCATTTCCATTACAATACAGCGTGTCACACAGATCTCACTCCTTTATTTGAGGAGTGTGTGTCTTTACTAATTCTCCTTGACATAGTAACATTTATGACTTTTAGACCTTTCATGATCATCCTCACCATTGCCAATTGTGCTAAGAACTCACACACACACACCTGCCACCTTCACTTGTCAGGTAACGTGGGAACTTAGCCCTTGTGACATACATATATTTTGTCTTCTGTTAAGTAATTGGTACATGTCAATAAGTCTTTAGATAATCTGTATTGTTCTCAGACAGCTGTTGAGTGGTAAAGAAAACATGGTCCCAAAATTAGGATATCTTGGTTCAGATCCCACACCTTCCAGGCAGGGACTTGACCACTATCATCACCACACCTATTTCATAGCATAGTGAAGACTTGTGGGAGAGAAATACATATTAAAGTGGAATTGGGCCTGGCCTTATAGACAGCATGTTCAGTCATCATCATCGGTGTCATCATTATCGTTGTCAGGTGGATTTGCTGACAAATTTGGGTAGTTGCCATCATAAGTTTTGAATCCCTTAAGCATAATTCAAGCTCATTAATTAGAATAAGGCAGAAAATCCTGTGGGATCTAAATTTGCCTCTCTAGGAAGGGAATTAAATTATTTGGTGTCACAAGAAGAGGGAGAGTTTTAGCATCAGTCAGACCTGGGTTCAAAACCTATCTCTGCCACTGACTTTGAAGCATCAACTTCCTCTCCTGTAATCAAGGAATAAGTGCCTGAAAGAGTTGTTATAAACAATAAACAACATGGAAAACACACCCCTTGTACAGATCCCGACACATAGTAGGCATTCAAGAAACACTGGTCTCCCTTGCTTTATGAACTGTAAAATGTGCGCTCAGCTACCAGATTAAGTGCTTGTTGCCTTTATTCTGAATACAATTGAGAGCTTATGCTTTGTTTCTTACTCATGGTTTAACTTTAGTGTTCAGATAATAGGCAGGGTAAAAGGTATATATTCAGGAAGATTAATATGCAAACCCTCAAACACTCTCAGAAGTTGAATTTAATAGCTCCACATGATTTCAACTAGGAAAATGGAATTTTCTCCCAGCTCAAAATTATTTAGACTTAGTCCATTAGCCACTTCATTTTTCACTGAAACTAGTTTTCTGGGATTGGTTGAATTCTGATTAGAAGTGTTACACACCTGTCTGGTCTGCCAGACTTTAGAAAGCACCTAATTGTAAGTAATGAGATAGTCCCAGAATAGAGGTCAAAAAGGACTCCTCTCTCTCATTAGGTGCCATTGGTTAGAACAGGTTGGGGGAGAAGTGACAGAAAAACAAACATCTTTTGAAGCACTGTAGTGTCTCGCTCTTTCAGACAGCAGTTTCAGAATTTCTAGGCACAGTGTGACCACAGATGACTCAGGCATACAGCCAGATATAAGGTGCTCCAGTGCCAAAGTAGAGTTCATGAACAAGACCCTTCATGCCCTGTCCTCACAGAGTCCTGAGTAAGGTAAATCCCAGAATGGCCCGGTGTTCAACCCATGATCTGAGTTGTCCAAGATCATTAAGCTAAAGAAAAAATTACTGACAAAGTAAAGGCTCAACCCCAGGTGTCCTGCCTCTAACTCAAATGAATGCTCTTTACATTCCTCTATGATATTTCAGATTTTCTAGTTATTTCTACAGATTTTCTTTTAAAAATCATCCTGGGGAGTTGCTGGGGTCTCAAATCAGGTAAAATTGTGGCCAAGTCACAATCCTTGTCCTTCTGGCTGTCAGCGTGACTCAATGAGTTTAAAATGTGTTGTACCTAATATGAAACTGGGAATCTGATAGTGAGTGCTTGTGGATTTTCTAATGATTTCAATGACATACAGAAAAAGAAAATTTTTTTTCTTTGGTAATATTTCAGGTCTGTCTCCTTATTACCTATTTTTGTGTGTGTGGGTGTTCATATGTACCACACACTATACAAGGCATTTGTGGCACCATACCTCATTTATCTTGTGTAATCCTTCTGAGAATCCATGAAAGAGCAATATTATCTCATCTTTTAATCATAAAAATTAGTCCTAGTCAAGTAACTCCTCCATGCTGGGGTTTGTTTTTAAGGCGATTAACAGGGTTTCTTTACAGGATTTAGCCTTAGAACCAATCTATCTGGCTCTACCACTTACCCAGATGTTGACCTTGGGAAAGTTGCTTGCACTACTTGTTCCTCTGCTTCCCCAAAGGTAAAATCAGATGGTGATGGCACCTTCCTTTGTGGGGGTTCTTTGAGGATTGAATGTGTAAAATGTTTATAGAAGAGTCTCTCAATAAAAGATTTTTAAATTGCCTTTTAATCACCATCTTAAATATGTTAAAAAAACTAAGTGTTACCAATTTTATAAGTTAGCTCAGGTACAAAAAAATGTATTTTAGCCTTTGAAAGACAAGTATTGATTTAACATTTCACATTAATAATGCTTTAAAAGTCATGCACAAGTGGAGCACAAATCAAACGCTGTACCAGAGAGAGCCTGTTGTATCAGCTATCTAGTGCTACATAACAAATTACTCCAAAGCTTCACACCTAAGGATGACAAACATTTATTATTGCACAGTTTCTGTGAGTCAGAAATCAGGGAGTAGATTAGCTGCGTGTTTTCCGTTAAGGGTCTCCCATGAGGCTTCAATCACGGTGTCAGTCACAGCTACAGTTATCTCAAGGCTCAGTGCAGGATGGGGATGGGAGGGAAATCTGTTCCCAATACCCCCATGCAGACCTCTCCACATGGCTGTCTCACAGCATGGCAGCTAGCTTCTCCCACAATAAGCATCCAAGAGTGAAAGAGCAAGAGCACTGGAGATGAAAGCTCATCTTTTTATAACATTCTCAGAAGTGACATCCCATCACTTCTCCTCTATTCTACCCCTTAACATT